ATATATATATATCCAAGTATCGCTATTCGGAAATATAATTTCGTACTAGCAATGTACAGCCCGATGTACACGCACCTAGCTGCTCAGGGTGAAGCCAAGCATGCTCGCACCGGGCGCGGAGGGATGAAGCGCCCAGACAGTGAGCTGTTTAACATTAACTGACTTTTTTTGCATTTGCGCATCACCGTGGCAGCCGTACATGCAGTTTCAGGCAGAACGGGGCCCTGGGCTTGTGACATGTCCTGTTGTCCTCCCTCGCGCCTAAACGGCAGCCCGAGGGGCTCATAACAGCGGGGTTTCAGATAGAGCAACGTTTCACTGGACGTAAACGAGCCATTTGCATGCTTGCGATGCACCCCACAGCCTCGAGCGCAGCAGCAGTACTGCTGCCGCAGCAGCAGTGCCTCTGCACCACCACCTCCTCGGCTGTCGGGGCGATTCGCAACCCCATTCTGAAGCACATGCAGCGCCAACTCTCCACTGCGCCAACTTCCAATTGCAATCCCAGGCGTGATCGCCGCCGCCGTGCAAGAACACGCGCCAGACGCCGCATCGTCATCGCACACATCCCCTGGCCTTGACAACAGCTGACCAGGCGACCTACCTTGCACGAGCTCCATCACCCCCGCCGCTGCCGCCTGGCGGCCGCGCGCCTGTGGTGCTTCCTGGGGCGGCATTGCCGTCCTTGGGGGCCGGTTGCGGCCGGCTCCGCAGGAAGCCTCACAGCGCACACCCGCCGGGCGGCGAGGGTAACGGTAGGGCACACCTTCATTTGTGCTTCGTCGGTGAGAAGCAGTGAATTTTCAGCTCTAGCTTCTCTGTTTTATGGCTACGATTTAATGCTGAGGGATGCCCTTCTCCGTTTGAAAGCCCTTTGAAGTTCAATCCGCGAGGTGTTGTAACCATGCACTGCATGTCGACAACCGGCCACGCGAAACATGACATGGATCAAAATCAGCAGAAGCACGCAGCTGAGTAAAGCTCCCAGGCGTGGTTGCATCCTGTGCAGGCAGCACCCCAGCATGGGTGGGCGCAGGCGTCAGTTGGGCAGCTCGAGCTGAGTCACACACGGAGTGGGCTGCACCAGGCTGGCCATTATGCACAACTGTGTATTGCCATCCTGTGTGCATGCGTTGGATTGCACATGTATGTACGATACCCTGCGAAAGGATATGATTGATACACGGAGATCCCGAGATCGGTCACGCTTTGCGCTTGAGAACTCACAAGGATCGCGGCAACACTGTCGATGAAGCTGCCACATGTTTAGCCTTGTTTGATGATGCTTGCACACCACGGCACGGTGCAGCACTAAGGGTGATTCGCGCCAAAGGCAGTCGGTGCTGCCGCTGCCCCACCGCACTGCACAGTAGTTCCTTTGGTGCACCGCTGCGATGCAGGGCGCGCCGGACGCGCTTGGTGACGCGCGGCGGCTGATGGCGTCGCTGCTGCTGCAGGAGGAGGTGGGCACATCCCTGAGTACCGCCGCCCATGCAGCAGCACGGCAGAGGCGCACCCGCCGCGTCTGCGCCCGCCGCGTCCGCATGCGCCGTGTGACTCTCCTTTGACCCTCATGCGCCGCGTGCATCCCGCCGGGACCCGTCCCAGGGTGCTCTCTGGACTCCACCATCTGTTTTGGCGGCCCAGCAGCTGCCGCTGCGACGTCATCACCCCCAACATCCTCAGCAGCAGCAGCAGTGGCAGCGGCAGCAGCAGCGGCAGCACTCGCCGCCACAGCTTGCTGAGGCCGCCGCCGGGGCCCAGATCTGGACTTTCGACAGCGGCAGCAGCAGCGGCGGCGACGGCGGGTACCCGGCCGGGGGCTGCCGGTCCGGTAGCTGCTCGTGGGGCGACCTAGGTGGCAGCGGCGATGATCTGAGCGATGACGCGTTCAGCTTTGGCGGCGGGCTGCAGCAGCAGCTCGACGCCGCGATCTCTCGCCTCGCGTCCGCCGTCGGGGCCGGCACGGATGTGGACGCAGACGCGGGCGCGGGCGCTGCTGCGGGAGGAGGCCGGGCGGGCCCTGTCATGCGCCGCGCCGAGGCGCTCGCGGCGCTCGCGGCGCCGCACGTGCACGCGGACGACCTCATAGCGTGCGACAGCTGGCCGCTGCTGCGCGCGGCGCTGCCAGCGTGCCTCGTAGACGCCGGCGCCGCGCATGAGGGCGGCGGCGAGGGCGACGAGCACAGCTGCGGGGGTGGCGGAGGCGCAGATGCGGCCGACGCGCCGGCAGCTGTCGCCGCTGCGGGGGCGTCGGCGGCGGCGCTGCTGCGGAAGCTGTCGCGCGTCGTCCTTGACTGCGCCCCCTCGGCGCTGGCGCAGGCGCTGCTGCCGCTGCTGCGGCGCCTGGCCGTTCGGGGCTTCGGCGGCGGGCTACCCCGCGGCTGGCGAGCGCCGGGCAGCTGTGGGGAGATGGGGAGGCATGACGCAGCGGCGCCGCCGCTGCTGCAGCAGCACCCACCGCTGCCGCACTCACAGCAGCAGGGACAGCAGCAGCAGCTGCAGCTACAGCTGCAGCAGCAGCAGCACGACTTGGAGCAGGAGCAGCAGCAGCAGCAGCAGCAGCAGCAGCAGCATCAGCAGCAGCAGCAGCAAGAGGAGCAGGAGCAGCAGGAGCACGAGGAGCAAGGCGACCCCGGAGAGCAGTTGGCTCCAATTGAGGAGCAGCAGGCAGCCGCTTTCGTGTTGCGCGCCCTGCACGCGCTCGGCCGCCAATGGCATCTGCTATCAGATGAGGACGCGCGGCCGCTGTCCCAAGAAATCCTCTCGCTCGCCCTGCAGGCAACGTGCGCCGGCGGGCGCGCGACCCGGTGCGCTGCGGGCGGCACGGGCTCGCCGCCGACCGACAGCGGCGGCGGCGGCGGCAGGGAGGCGGCGGCGGGCGGGGACGGTGAGGGGCAACGGTGTGGGGGGCGGCGGCGCTTGGCGGCGCTCGAGGTGCTGATGCAGGTTGATCCTGATCTGCTATGGTGGCGGCGCCTGTTTGCGCTTGCGGGGTTCAGGCGGGCGCTGATTGAGGGAGGGTCTCTAGACAGCGGTGGCAGTGAGGGCGTTGGCGGCGGGCCAAGCGGCCCTGGCGGGGCCGGTGGCGACGGCAGCGGTGGGAGCAGCAGCAGCGGAGCGAGGGACTTCGGCTTGGAGCGCGAGCGGCGCGTCGGGCAGGGGTGCGGCCCGCTCGCCGTTGCGCTGACGGCGGCGTGGCGGCTGGCGGACGGTGGTGCGGCGCAAGAGGCGGCGTGGCGGCGGCACGGCGTGGCCGTGCTGACCGCCTGCCTGCTGCAGTCGTCGCCGCGCACGTTTGCGCGGCTCATGGGCGAGGGCGCGCCCGAGGCCGGGCCTGGCGCACACGGCGGCGGGAGCAGCAGCGAGGGCGTCTCAGGCTCGGCGCTGATGCAGCTAGCGCGAGGGTATCTGGAGCGCACTGCAGCCCGTGAGCATGCAGAGAGCGGTATAAGCTGCACAACAAGTTTGAAGCTGCTTTTGTTGGGTTTGTGATCCATAAAACAAAACGAAACGTGCTGTAAGCATGGCCACTGTCAAATGGGCTGTATGGCATGCATAATGTGCTGCGAACGAAATTTGCAGGTTCTTACACGTGCCATATGGGAGCGGGGCGCCCAGCAATTCCTGCGCAGGCGCAGCAGCATTGACCACAGATTGAGCATGTGCGGGGTCCTGATGGCCGTGCATATGCTGGGGGATAGCGTCAATAGCATTGTTGTGTGATAACCACCAAATTGATTTCATTCCTGCCTCACAAAGTATTGGCTGCGCTTCATGAAGGATTGACTGCCAGGACGGATTACCGTCACAATGCACGAGCACTGCTACACACAGCTTGGAGCGCACCGGCAGGGAAGTGCCTTTGTCACGTAGCAAGTCTCGCCCAGTCAGATTGGTATGCTAGCACCCGCATTTTCTCACCCGGGGTTACGAGCAGATCGCGGCCGGGCAAAGGTGCGTCATCAGGTCAAGCATCATTACAAAAGATTGCACCTTATCCAGACACGGTGTTCCCGATAATTCCTTTATGTGCATAGTCTTGTCAAGCGCCGATCCCGCGACCCACCATCACACCGCAGGCCACCCATGTACTGATGGCGCCAAGCAGCAACTGCATGATGGGCGCCCCGACCGCCGCAGAGACAGACGCCCCCTCGGCCCCCACCGCCACCGCCACGGCTGAGTTTAGCATGGCAGCCCCTGCGCCGGTCCTGCGGTTCAGTGGGGGCTGCCTGCGCCCCTTCCTAGCGCAGGACGCCCCCAGCATATCGCGGCACGCCAACAACAGGTCAGCAGCCCCCCTTCCCCCCTTCCACCGCCTGGCTGATGTCTACACACGCACGCACTAACGTACACACACATACGCACGTACCCAGTCCCTCACCTCACATACACGTGCACACGCGTGTGCAAGCCCGTTTTGGGCCCCGGCGGCGCAGCCGGTCTCTTTTCAGCCCTGCTGCCCAGCCCCGCCCCGCCGCTGCGCCACGCCGAAACGCAGGGCCGTCTGGCGCTGCTGCAGCGACCGCTTCCCGCACCCATACACTCTGGAAGACGCCGCGAAGTGGGTCGAGACGTGCCAAAGTTCTGATCCGCCCGGCGCGCCTTGCAGCCAATTTGCGATCATCATCGACGGCGCCGCGGTGGGCGCGAGGGTCAGGGGGCGCAGCGCGGCGCGGCGGCTGCATCGCGGCGCGCACGCGCGCGCCAGGGCGCGCTGCTCGGACGGGGCGTTGCTCGCAGCGCACACGCGTGCAGGGCGGCGCGGGCCGCGGAGGCGCGTGGGCCGAGGCCGGCTACTGGGACGGCCCGGGGGTGCGAGAGAAGGGGGCGGCGTCCTGGGCCGCCCATGGGTGCGGCGGTACGATTGGAGGATTGAGCAGTGGTGGGACGGTACAATGGATCAAATCGAGCAGAATAGCGAGGGCCCGAATGCGCACCTCTCAAAGTGTGCCGCGACCCACTCAATGCAGGTGGGCGGGGTGGGCGTATTCCACAGAAGCGACGTCCAGCGGCACACCAAGGTGCGGGCGCGGGCGACGCGACGCGCCACCCCTTCAACACACGCGTTCAGCGTGTTATTTTTTTGGGTTTTGAAATATCTGGTTGAGCAGGTTTTCGGGATTCGGGACTCGGGCCGTGGGATCTTGGGTCCGGGTCAAGGCTCACCTCTCGCCCCCGTGCATTGGCGCCCGCGCGGCGTGCCTGCTCGCGGCCGGCCGCGGCCGCGGGGAGCAGTGTCCCCGCGGGGAGCAGTGTCCCGAGTCGAGGCGGCAACATTCCGCAGGACTTCACAGGAGGACAGGGGCCACCCCAGCAATTCATTGGCGGCCCAGCGCATGGTCAAAGAGAGCCCCTCCCACTCCAGACTCCACAGTATGTCCAACTGCCTGCACCCTCAGCCGCACGGGCGGCCGGCTCTCGCCCCTCTTTCGCGTCTGTCTGAGCCTGCACGCATGCGCATTCGTTGCCCCCTGTGCTGTATCGCTCGTGCTGTCGTGCAGGAGCTGGGGTACTGGCTCGGGGAGGAGTACTGGGGGCGCGGCCTCGGCGGGGCGGTGGTGGGCGCTTTTCTGGAGTACCTGTGGATGGCGTTCCCAGAGCTCGTGCGTGTGTGTGTGTGTGTGTGTGCTTGTGTGCTTGTGTGTGTGTGTGTGTGTGTGTGTGTGTGTGTGCGCGCGCGCTTGTGCGTGTGGGGGGGGGTATCTGAGCGCACGTGCGTGCCTTTAGGGAGGTGGCTGGGCCCTGGGCGTGAGAGTGCGTGCATACGCTGGCAAGCGAGGGGGCGCTGCAAATAGGTCGTTTCTCAGCAAGCAGGCGCGCAAGCCCGCAGCACCCTGCACTGGCCGGATACCCCCTATCTTCGTTGCTGTCCGTCCTTCAGTTTTGAGCGGCAGCAGCAGACCCAGCAAGCTCGATATTTTTGCAAACGGGCCGCTTTGGGCACCAAATTCTCACAGCCGCGGCAGGAGCACCCGGCCCCTTGCCCTCTTCACGGCTGCTGCTGCTGCGGCGCGCGGGGGCCGGCAGGGGCCCCTCTGCTTGATCGCTGCTGGCCAGCCGGGCTCTGTTTCAATGTCCACCAAAAGACTTCAAACGTGTCATCACACGTTTCACATGCACGCAGGCCCGGGTCGAGGCGCTTGTCTACCATTACAACGAGCGCTCCTGCCGCGTGCTGCTGCGCCACGGCTTCGCCCTGGAGGGCCGCCTGCGGGACGCGGCCTTCAAGGAGGGGCGGCTGGCGGACACCCTGGTGTACGGGCTGACGCGGCGGGACTGGGAGGCGGGGGGCGCGGCGGCCGGGAAGGAGGCCGAGGGGGCGGCGGCGGCGGCGGCGGCGGGCGCGGCGAGTTGAATCTTGCCGGGACGCTTTGGTGTATGCCTGGTGCTCGACTGGCGGGGTGCTGACCCGGGGGTCTTTGGATACGTTGGCGGGTTTGACCGTGGGTTGACTGAGCGTGCGCCTCAAATGCTGAGCATGTGATGGCGCGCTGACTGTACTGTATTCTTGTGATTTGCGTGACAAGTTGGGGCACCAGCCGATTGCTTGGCAGCTGAAAAAAGTATTGCACTCACAAGCCCGTGGGCCGTGCTTAACAAATGCTTGCTCAACATTTGAGGGGCGGCTGCCCTTGTGTGTTGCAGTAATTCGAACAACCGCCTCCCGCCCAAGAGATGACACAGCAACTTGGGCGAGCGAAGAAAGGTGTTTTGATGTCAAGAGGGGCCTGAATTGCTTGTGAGCGCATGACTGCTCTATTTGACTCTTGTTTTCAAACGTGAGGCTTGGAAAACACACATGCGTGAAAAGCCTCGGGGTGGATGCAGATGCTGACTGCGTGGCCAAAAAATGCGTGGTGAAACACTGCGCCACCCCGATTGGGAGGTCGGCTGCTGCATAGCAGTACCCATGACAAACAAAGCCAAAGCACCCCTGTAAGCAAGGCAGCGGCTCGGCGATCCCCTCTGCATATGGAATGCCCCTCACCGGCCCTCAACCTCCTCCCCGCCTCCGCCGAGCGCCCTCGGCCCCTCCGGCCGCACGACGCCGCCCTCTCCTGCCGCAGGCCGCGCCCCGCCCTCCGCCGCACCC